GGGGTCCTGGGTTACCTGTGTGTCCTCACACACCCTGGGGTCCTAGGTTGTCCCTTGTTCGTGCTTTTAAACCAAGGACAATCAAGGACCTCTGTTTCTGACAGACTGACAGAAACCTGGATTTCCAGGGACCTTTCTGCACTTTCCTGGGACAAACCCGAGCAGAGGAAGGAACACCTGGACAAGTATTCTCCAACCGCAGTGCCGGCGAGATGCTCAGGGCCTCCAAACACCGAACGCAAGTCCCTCAGCTTCTCCTGAGCACAGACTCCACGGGCCCCAACAAGCAGTGGACAAACGCTTTTCCCAAACGCTTTTCCTTCCAGTCTTTCCCCAGAAACGCTGCCGGGGTGTGCATACATAGGTGAATGCCGGGCCCCTCTCTCCATAAGAAGGTCAAGTTCCAATGAGCCAAAGGTCCTCTCTCACTCAACCATCAGGGATCCTGTTCCCGGGGGCCAAGCCCTGGCTCTGGGGAGGCCTTGGGCGTGGTAAGCTCACACCTGGGCCCACCTGCCTTTCAGAACTGAAGTTTTAAAACATCAAGGATGAAATACAACTGTATGGCATGGCCCAGTAAGGAAAGAGGTGTGAGCACCCTCTCCCCCGAGTCTGGCCTGGAAAGGCCCCTCCCCAGCTGCCAGACCTCAGACTCAAGTCCCAGGGGTGGTCAGACTTTGCTTAGAAGACAGGCATCATTTGCACATTCACTGGCAAATGCTGAAACTAGACCCGCAAAGAGCTGGAAGTCTGGCTAGAAACACAGACAGCAGGCTCCCAGGTGTGAGAGTTGCCTGGAGGGTGGGAACAGTTCCTCTGACAATTCACAACAGCAGCATGAGGTCACCAGGTGAGCACCTAGCATCTCTGGCCGTTTCAGGCTGGGCTCTTTCACATGGAGCAACATGGAAACCGCAACTCTGTTCGGTCGGGACTTGGTGGGAGCCAGACTTACTTGTCATGGCTGCGGAATGCCTGAGACAGAGATCACACGAGCATCCGATGGGCTCCTGGCACCGTGCAGGCTGCCCTGAGGCCAGGAGACCTAGGCAGCCTGACCAGGTCTGCGAGTGCCCCGGAGCCAGGGCCCGGGGCTGCAGGGCAGAGCGCTGGGCGGGAGGTACTCCACAAGCCAGTCCTCAGCGACTCCCGGGCTGTTTCTGGCTCACCTGTCTGGCGTTGAAGGGCCCCTCATTCCTCCCCTCCAACACGATTTCTCCAGTCCCTCTACTTCTCCACCCGAGTGAGCATGAGGAGAGCTACTGGTCTACAGGACTGGTTTTGCAGGGCTGAATCCTCAACATCAATCAGACATAAGTAGCAAATGGCCCAGATGCTGGTGAAAAGGAAAATTTACATAAACCCCTGCTGTATAATCAGACAGAGATAGCCCAAGTTGTCTAAAAGTCATAGATTTACTGCCGTAAACCCTAAACTAAGCATTGTTACCATTTTAGGTGAAATCTACTGTGTATTTTCTTGTCTCTTTACACCTAAGATAGGAACCAGCCCCCTTCTGCGATGGCATCTGGTGACTAGGTCATCAGCAGGGAGACACTAAAGGTGATCGACTGTCTACCCCCACCATCCCCACCTGGATTGTCCTGAGCGACCTCACACAGGTCTGCTGTTCCCTGTGGCCCCTCCCTCTGACTGTCAGCTGTCATTCTCACAGATGACTTGCTACTTCCAATCAGCACGAGGCATGAAAACCACACCTTTGCCACACACGGTAGGTACACTGGGATTGCAAGCATCTCTTCCGGCAGAAAAGTGGGGAAGGACTCTGTGCACAGATTTAGCGGCCCCACTTCTGGAACATGGCGTCACTGCACCGAAGACACGGGGCCCTTCAGCGCCAGGCGGGTGAGCCAAAACCAGACCCAGGAGACCCTGCCTTGCAACCCCAGCAGCTGCTATTTTAAAGACCAGCTACTCACAGCCGGAGTCACACTGACAGACCTGTAGAAACTTACACACGGTTGGGAGACAAATAATAAACGTGTGGAGCACTCCCGGGTGTTCCCTCCACTTCCCAGTCTCAGACAGAACCAGACTCAGGATGCTCCCCTCCAGCTGCGGCTGCAGACAGACAAGCCCCGGGCCAGAGTGTCTCAGACACAAATCACCGCTGACCACACCCAGGAATGAGGACCAAACAAAACGAGGAAGTGAAACCACCACTTTCATTTCCAAGGTCCCCAGCCACTAGCAGCAGTACACAGAGCAGTACAGCCCGTGCAGGGGCGGGAGCCACAGGCAGCTGCCAGCTGCCGGTGAGAATGAGGACTGTGAGCTGGCCTACCGGCGCATGCTCACGCTCTGCAGGAGACATCTGGGCTCAGGTAATGAGGACCTTCCGTGGCCAAATCCCAAACACAGCCTCACGATCTGGGCAGTACCCCACATTTATAGATGTGCTCTCATTTAAGAATTCCTCTGCCAGATTTCAGTGTGCAACTGCCTTTGACAAACACAGATCTGGAAATGAGGAGGCTTTGAGGTAGCAGACAATGACAGTTATTTTTGAAGGAACACAGGAGAAAGGTACCAGGTAGAAAATGCAGAGACAGCAAGACTATTTTATTTTTTAATATATTTTCTTGATGTTTTACAGAGAGGAAGGGAGAAGGATAGAGATTTAGCAACATTGTTGAGAGAGAAACATGGATCAGTTGCCTCCTGCACACCCCCTACTGCAGATGTGCCTGCAACCAAGTACATGCCCTTGACCAGAATCGAACCTGGGACGCCCTCAGTCCACAGGCCAACGCCCTATCCACTGAGCCAAACTGGCTAGGCCAAGACTGACTTTATTGACACAGTCCACAGAGCCCATCGGGGACCTCTAACCCAAGAAGCAGTGATTAACTTTTTCTTGGCATTCAAAAGAAAAATTCTTTAAACTCTGGTCTGATGACCTTCACCCTGCGCCTGCCAATGAAAGGCAAGAGAACTTCCCAGGCTGCAATGTGGTCTGAAGGGTGCGCTCCCGAAGGCTGGGGCTGAGCTGTGACTCATCTTTTCAGCAAGGCTGATGGGAACAGTGGTTTCTCTTACCTGTCTCTTTAGCTATCAGCCTAGCAGATTCTGAAGGGGGTCAGGGATACTAAAATTCAAGACGGGTCAGCAAGAAACACAGCAGACTGCTCACACAAGGCCCTCACATGCAGCCCTTTTCTGGATTTTTCTTCCAGAAAGAAAAACCTTCAGTAATAAAGGCTGGGGATTCCCCTTTGGGCTCAGTGTGCGTGTTAACTACCACTAGGCCTGGCCCCCTCGCCACCATGGGCACCTCTCATTCCGAGTCTCTGCTCACAGCTTCCCCAGTGGTTCTCTATTGGTCCCGAAGCCAGAGGCCCCTGGGATGCCTGCTAAGAAACTGCGTGTGGGGCTCCCCTGGACCTCATGAATCAGGATGCTGATTCATTCAGAGTGTTCCCGGGGTCCTTGACATTGGGAACATTTGGACGAGATTCCTTATCTTCACCACGATCCTGGAAAGTAGGTTCTGTTGACCTCATCTGACAAAGAGGCCGAGGAAGTTGCCCAAACCTGCGACACCCACCAGGCACTGGAAAGGCAGGAACGGGACCTCTGACTGAGCACCATGCAAAGTCCTCTTTGCCGCCCACAACATGATAGGGAAGTGGACTGGAGCTTTTCTTTCATGAACTTAACAGAGCAGCCCATACTATCTACATGGGTTGGGGAAAGACGCCATAGAGAATTAAGGGCAATAGTTAAATCTACTCACATTTAGCCCCAAGCATAATCCAACTTTACCTGGGGTTCTGCACTCTTCCTGGAACGGGGGCCAGGCCATCTCCTCCGTAGACACCAGGACAGCTGGCACCAACGCCACACACACACACACACACACACACACACACACACACACACACAAGGTGGCAGCCCCGAGGGAGGGCACCAGAGACCTTAAGTGCAAACCTGCACCCCATTCTCACCTGAGGCTTTTTTTTTTTTTAACTTTTTTAAAAAAATGTATTTTTATTGATTTCAGATAGGAAGGAAGAGGGAGAGAGAGCTAGAACCATCAATGATGAGAACCATTGATCGTACGCACCCCATTGGGGATCGAGCCCACAACTAGGCATGTGCCCTTGACCGGAATCAAACCTGGGACCCTTCAGTCTGCAGGCTGACGCTCCATCCACCGAGCCAAACTGGCTAGGACTGAAGCTTTTCTTAAGTATGAGTTCGCTGACAAACTCGACACACTACCATTTGGCTGGTTAGGAAATGACTTAGGAGCATTTGGAAATACATCTGCACAGGAGAAATGGAAGCCATGCACACTGGGTCCACACACAGCACACAGCCTGGACACACACATTAAACACTCTTAGCTACACCCATTCAACAACAACTCGTAACTCAGAGCCCTATGAATCTGATACCAATTCAGTGCCATGGAAAATCGCAAAGCAGCATTATCCATATTCACCGGACAGGTAACCAACTCAGATCTTCACTAAGATACCCTCACTGTGGACTCCCTCCCCACGCTGCAGTGAAACACGCACCCCTCCCCCCACACCCATGGAAATGGGCTTGGCAGCCTGGCCTCAGAGTTTTAAGCAGCCCCCGAGGCCCGGGGCCACTCTCACTCCACAGACAGCCGCAGCCTTACTCCCTGAACACCTTGGATTCATCTGAACCCGGGGCGGCAGCCCTGCCCTGCCCACAGGAGACAAGGCTGGTGAGGATAAGGGAACACCTTATTCAGGTCTTTCTGGCTGACGTTCATCGGATACAGTATTTCTAGCTGACAGTCATCAGATTCGCAGGCACTGCTGGTCCAATTCAAAATGGTTTGAATTTTAGGTATTACTACTCATTTGCTAAGCTTTGAATGCCTCAGGATAAAAACAACAACAGGGCAATGTGCATCCCAAGTCATCCTGAAGACAATTAGGCCAAACGGGGGGCTCCGCCATCCGGCTGGCCCAGACCGTAAGCCGTGGAGCCGTAATTACCTGTTTCTCCCCACAGCGTGTCGGTGCCATTGACGTCTATTTCATGTTCCTTTTCCAGTCCCAGCAAGCACTCGACCACCTGTCAGAAGTGGCAAGGTGATTTAATGAGTTCTCGTCGCCATATGTGCTTATTATACCCCATGTATCAAAGGAGCCAGTCTGTTGTTTTTTAACCATGATTATCTCATGCCGCACAAGGAGAGAAAATACTAATATAATGAAAACTGTTTTTAAGCATAATTCATATGCTATTCACACGTTCACTTTGAGAATAAAAAATAAAAAAAAAGGCGTCGTGAATTTCAGCAACATTGTTCAGGATTACCAAGTACTCGGAATTTTAATGAATTCCAACGTGACCCAAATATGCCAGCCTAATCATCAAAGGACACAGGATATCACACAAAGTGCAGCTTCTGCATAAATTGCCCGAAGATGGTGAATCCATTTTCACAAGGAAAGAAAACAAGGTGGTGTATACCTTTTCAATAAAATAAAATAAAATAAAGAATGTTGTCTAGATGATTTTTATACTAACAGCGATATTATTCTTTCCTGTGCGAGCATCACCCCCATCAAAGAGCAGGCGGGGTCACAGGTGTGGAGGCAGGGTGCTGGCTCGAGGGGAATCGGAAGGACCGGAGCCCCGAACCCTTCACTCTGTGCAACGGCAGCAGCAGGCGAGGGCAGAGCCATTTTCCCGTCCCCCAATCCGCACCCATTGGGGTAGGCTGAAAAGAGCCCCCACATATATCCACATCTTCGTCCCCAAAGCTGGGAATGTTACCATGCATGGCAAGAGGGAATGTGCAGATGTGATTACGGATCTTGAAAGGGACGATGGCCCAGAATTACCCAGGTGCATAGCTCATATACACCTGACATAATCACCGCTGCCCCCAAAGAGGGACAGGAACAACAGGGCAGAGGAGGGATGAGAGGGGACGATAGAAGCATAAGTAAAAGTGATGCTCTTTGAAGACAAAGGAAAGGGCCATAAACTAAGGAATATAGGTAGCTTCTAGAACACATGTGTCAAACACAAGGCCCGCGGGCCAAATCCGTCCCGCCAGGCCTTGCAATGTGGCCCGCACCGCGCTGTCATCACTGCACTCCGCTGCGTTTCCATCACAATGACAGTTTATGACTGTTCAGTAAACCATTCAGCCCGCGATTTAGGCTGGATTTTAGATTTTGGCCCCTTCTCTGATTGAGTTCGACACCCCTATTCTAGAAACTAGGAAAAAAGCTAAACACCATTCCCCTCTAGAGCCTCAAGAAACAACACTGTCTCCTGACACCTTACCTTTAGCTTTCTGACTTCCTGGTCCGAAAGAGAACGGGTGTCTGCTGCTTTAAGCCACTCAAGTCTATGGTCACTTGTTACAGCAGCATTAGGAAGCTCATACACCCTTCGAGGTGGTGAATGAATCCTGCCCTTTGTTACTGGCGAGGCTGAGGTTGCTTTTGCACAGCATTCTTCTCAGCCAGCTTCAAAACAAGTTGAGCTTATCATAAACCCATTATATTGTATATAGCATTTAACCTATTTTTTATGAAATATGGTTTTTTTTTAAAAAAATAAAACGAGTATTTTTTCCAGAACTAAAACATGTACGTTGACTATCAATAGTATTGTTTCATATTTTTGCAAATCTCTCATGTCTCTCTTAAGAGAACTGCATCCTTTTATATGCTTCTGCATTTAATTAATGCAATATATTTGTGTTGAAGTATTATGTATGTGTATTTTTAATGTGTGTGTGCGCACATGCAAACATGGGTGTGTATGTTTGTTCTTGTGTTTTAAATATCAAAAGCTAGCCAGCCAACCAGCTTTGCACCCAAATTTATTCTAAATAATTGTAGGGACAACTCTTGCCAAATACTGGCAACTCTGATTGCTTGAGGATCATACAGAGAGAAAAACACATAGAAGGGAGCAAGTAAAATATTAAATTCACACACACACTGGTCAGGAGGTGACAATGACACCTCAAACCGAGGAATGCCAACGTCTACCAGAAATAAGTGCTCTTCTGAACTGCTGGCGGAGTTTTCCTTCAGTGCAGGAGCTGCGAAGGGCAAGCGTTTTTACAGGCTACGAGAGCACTGAGGTTCTATTTTTAACATCTTTCAAATACTCAAGGACAATTTTAGAATTCGGGTTCCATGTGATTTTTAAAAGGACCACAAGGACAAAAGAATGAACCAAAGTGGGGATAAAAAGTAAGGCAGCAGGGCAAGAGGATGAAAGTAGAAGAGAGAAAGGCAGAGACACATAGACACGGAAGCCCTGGCTGGTTGCTCGGTTGGTTGGAGCATTGTCCAGGGCACCAGAAGGTGGCTGGTTCGATTCCCTGTCAGGGCACATACCCAGGTTAGGGGTTCCATCTCAGGTCGGGATAGATGTTTCTCTCTCTCCCTCCCTCCTCCCCCCCTTTCCTTTCTTAACAATCAATTTTTAAAAAGAGATAAGGAAGCGTAGAGAATGAACGTTATTAATTTATTATGGATGAGTCTGTGCGGGAGAGGCCTCCCTGTCGTGTGGGCACACATACACACTTGGCACTGTGGGCTTGGGGCTTTCACTCAAATGCAGGGTGTGATGCCAAGACCCTGGATCACGGTCACACACAGTCAAACCAGAGGCTGTTTCTCCAAACCCTCCTTTACCTTCTTTTCTTCCGTGCATCACAGGCTAGCGACTCCGAAGAAGGCGACCTCACAAGTACCCACCCAGTGCACCACAGCTCCCAGGTCCCCAAGCGGGAACCCCGCAGCCCCACTCACCGCGCTGTGGCCCATGCTGGCGGCCGCCGTCAGTGCCTGCTGCAGGGCGTGGCTCTTCCTCAGCGCACCGGGCTGGGGAGTGCCCGCCGACCACTCGCAGGCCAGCAGGTACTGCAGCACGTCGCTGTGGCCCCGCAGAGCGCTGTGCACCAGTGCACACTGGCCTTTCTTATCCAAGTGGTCCAACTGGAAGGCAGGAGCAAAGGGCACCAGTTAGCATCACCTCTGCTCTGGGAACACGGGGTCCAACACAAACGCTGTGTGTGTGCAAGCACAGGTACTGAGTCTGTGTCCCAGTGCGTCTTTCTGGAGAGCAGAGTCCTGTTGGAGTTACTTTGATGGGATGAAGGCACCCGGCCAGGGCTCGGGTTCCCCTGGTAAGACTGGCTGTCACAGCGCACCCTGCTCACTCCCCGCGTCTCTCCAGCAAACAACTGGGAGCTCTGAGTTCTCTGGGGAGCACGTGCGAGGACACCGATCAAACCTCAGGCAAAGCCCTGTGCTCACCGACTGCAGTTCCTGGAGGGGGACATTCTAACGGGCTGGGACAGGCTACATTCTCGGGGTGCAGAGCAGTTCTTTGGTCACCAAGCCAGGAGAGCCAGCAAAAGGGAGGGATCTGGAAGACCCAGCTCTGAACAAGGAAGGGACTCAGAGTGGCGTCAGATTGGCGAAGGAGGCAGGCAACCTGGGACCTGTCAGCATGTCAAGTATGGCTACAGAGCCGGGAGGGCCAGCTTGCCACAGAGTGTCTGAGTGTGGCATACCTCCTAAAGGCCCAAAGGCAGCAGATAATGCGTCATTCCCTGTCTAAACTCGGGAATACTGGGCTGGAAGAGGAGCGGAGGGTCAGCCTCCAAATTCTGGGAATGCCCTGCACCCCCACCCACAGGCTTTGCAAGAGCCACCAATGTGACCCTTGCCCTCCTCCAGACCTTCTGGCTGGGGTGGAAGGGGAGTCTGGCCTCCGAATAAAGCTAAGTCACTGTGTGGATGAGGAAATGGAGGTGTGCTGATGTGCACTAATGCACCCACTGGGAAGGCCTCACAGCAACCTTTCTCTTCTTCCTGTGCTAAAATTAAAGTCCACCTGTCCCAAATGTGTTTCTGAGAGAAAAACCCAAAAGGCCCCCACAGTTACTAGAAGCCTAGTGTCTTTTTGTTGAACCTTCGGTACACTAATCAGTATAAAGACATCAGTGATTTATTTCTATTGTTTTCAAAAGCACATCCCCTTTGACCCCCAATGAAATGCTTACAGTAAGCCTGAAGAGTTTACTTGTGAGCTTGGCACTATTCTCATTCAATCTGTTAACATCGACATTCCTAGAGTAACTGATCTATAATCATGTTAATACATTGGCTGACTTAACGCTCACACAGCGGCCCTGTGGCAGACACTGCTGCCGAGCCCATCTTACAGGGGGGAAGCCTGAGGCACACAGCCTCAACAACTTGCCCAGCGTCCCACCCAGCTGGCATTTGGAGAACTAAGGACTCAGGCTCCTGGATCCACGTGCTCAGGCCCATGCTTCTAAGTCCACAGAACTCATTTCATTGTTTTTTTGTTTTCTTTTTTTTTTGTTTTCTTTTAAAGGCATGAAATGAAATGAGACAAGGAGAGAGAGAGAAAAAACAACAACAACACGTAAATCTTTTCACTTAATTGGTGCCATTAAATTCTGGTAAGTTCTATCTAGGTCCGCACTTGCAGGCTGTTCAAAGGATGGCCCTGCTCGTGCCACTGGTGCCAGGAATTCCCCCGGTAGCCTGCCTCCCCCGGGGCCACAATAAGCAGAGTGAGTTTAGGAACTGAACACTGGAGCACCCTCTCAGCGCACCCACCCAGGTGGTGTCCCACGGCAGTGCTGAGCTCACCCTTTCTGTTCAGCTAGCCATTTCTGTTCATTGCAATTCAACAAGGTAGAGACAAATGGAGGGCTGGCCCGGCCAGGGGGGAGGGGGGGTAATTCTAACGAGGACATGAAGACGTTGCCGCACCCCCCGGGGGAAGGCTGCTGCTTACCCTCGCCCCCTTCTTGGCCAGCAGGCACACCAGCTTCATGTGGCCGGCGGCGGCCGCGTAGCAGAGGGCGGTCATGCCGTTCTCAGACATGCCGTCCAGGCAGGCACCAAACTCCAGGAGCAGAGTGACCACCTCCTCGTGGCCAAGGTGAGACTGGACGCACAGGATCGGGGCGTTATTCAGCACTTCCGTCCTGTAGTTCACGTTGGCCCCGCCCAAAATCAGGAGCCGGCTCACCTGTTGGAGAAAGTCCCCCAAAAGATGATTAATTTCTCAGGTAAATGTCACAACATTTGTAACAACTTCCGTGGAGAAGGGCAGCAGCCTCATTCTGATCCAGTGGCTCTCCAACTCGCATGTGCACCGTGTTACCTGCGAACGTGCTGCAAGGGCACATTCTCCGCGGTGGGAATGGAATGGTGCAGCAGCCACGGAAAACAGTGTGGAGGGTCCCCAAGATCCCGCAGTCCCACTTCTGGGAATAGATCCGAAGGCAATGAAACCAGCGTCTCAAAGAGGCCCCTGCACTGCCACGTTCACTGCAGCATTAGCCCAACAGCCAAGAGATGGAAGCAAATGAATGTCCCTCGATGGTTGAATAGACAAAATGTGGTATATGCCTGTGCATACAATGGCGTATTGTCAGCCTTTAAATGGAAATTTTCACCCTGGCTGGGTAGCTCAGTTGGTTAGAGCAGTGGTCGACAAACTCATTAGTCAACAGAGCCAAATATCAACAGTACAACGATTGAAATTTCTTTTGAGAGCCAAATTTTTTAAACTTAAACTATATAGGTAGGTACATTGTTATTAATTTAATTAGGGTACTCCTAAGCTGGCCTTTGCTAAAAACTCAAGAGGCCAAAGAGCAGCATATGGCTCGAGAGCCGCAGTTTGCCGACCACTGGGTTAAAGTGTCAGTTACCCTGATAGGCCAAGATAAAGGGTTGGATCCCTGGCAGGATACATAAAAGAAACAACCAATGAGTGCATAAATAAGTGGAACAACAAATCTCTCTCTCTTATAAATATAAATTTAAAAAAAAAGTAAAAGGAAGGAATTCTGACACATGCTACAACATGGATGAACCTTCTGGACATTATGCTAGGTGAAATAAGCCAGTCACAGAGAGATCAATACTCTGTGATCCCACTTATATGAGGTACCTATAGCAGTCTTATCATAGAGACAGAAAGCAGAATGGTGGTTGCTCAGGGCTAGGGGGGAGGTGTAATGAGAGCTGTTTAATGATTATAGAGATTATAGAGATTTAGTTTCACATGACGAAGAACTTCTGGCGATCTACTGTGCAATAATGTGAATATACTTTGCGGAAGTCTACACTTAAAAACAATTAAGGTAAAATAGAGACCATAGAAATGATTACCGTGGGTGTGGGGGTGAGTGGATGAATAAGGTGAAGGAGAATCTAGTCAATAAGTTTGCATGGTGACAGGTGATTATGAGAATTAGTGGGGTGATCGCACTGTAAGTTATAAAAATGTCAAATCACTATATTGTACACCTGAACCCAATGTCACTAATATATACCAATATCACTATAATATACTTAAATAAAACAATTTAAAAAATATATAGTTAAGATAGTAAATTTCGTATTATTGTATCTAGGTTTTTTTAAAACATATTTTTATTGATGTCTGAGAGAAAGGAAGAGAGAGAAAGAGAGAGGGGAACATCAGTGATAAGAGAATCATTAATCGCTGCCTCCTGCACACTCCCCCACCAGCGATGGAGCCTGAAACCCAGGCATGTGCCCTGACCAGGAACAGAACCATGACAGGTTCACAGGTTGACATTCAACCCCTGATCCACACCAGCCCAGCTTGTGTGTTGTTGTTTTAACTAAAATTAAAAAAAATTTTTAAAGCACAGTCTCAGGCCCCACCTACTGGGCCTGGGGTGCTGGGTCAGGTTCCCAGCTTCTCCTGATGCTGCTGGTGTGGGGTCCACACTTTAAAAAACCACTGCTTAATCTAATAAAAACAAAACAATCATCACGGATTAAATACTTAACAGCGAGGTAACAAGACCAAAAGTAAAGGCAGACGCTGTCTTTTCTTCACCAGGAAGCGCAGAAAAAGCAGACACATGAAAACTTGTGCCCCTGGGGCTGTCAACAGCACAGGATCCTAAAAAATGGTCTTTTCCTAATTACCCCGCCTGCTACCCACTGAAGTTACCTGGATCCAGACATGATCCAAGGGGAGTTTACCTAGAGATTTTAAAATAAAATCACAGAAAACCGTATGCACATTGTAGCTCTACTACTGTCTTCTGCATATCTCCAGATCACTAAAAAAAACGACGGCCCTTTAACACCTATTAAAATGCCCACCACATCTCTTCAAACGGTTCCCTTCAGCGGCCTGGGCCAGCATCAATCACTCCCCTGACAGGCCCTGGCAGGCCTCCAGGCTGCCCACGAGGTGTGGAAACCACAGACACCGTGTCGTTCATTTGACTAGAGTCACAAGGGATCATTAAAAGATGCAGGAAGACGGTTAAGTCATATAAAATTCAAGTTCCCTCAATGATATGTGTCCACGAGAGCAGCTGACAGAATTTCTACGAACGGATAGGAATTAATATTACGAGGCGGTGAGACCACGACTTGGGATCATGTGCAGCACACGGGCAGGTTAGAACCCAAAGTGTAAGCTCTGAGGAGTCCTGGTTGTCCTGGGGCTTGACACATGAAAACCCAGCCCTCCATCTCCCTCGCCTCTCCCAGCCCTTCCCCCTTTTTTCCCTCCTTTGCCCACTTTGGCCACTATGTGCCCAGTAGCAAGCAGGCCCCAGCCTCAGGGCCCTTAACTCAGTCAAGAACGCCTTTCCCACAGATTCAACTGACAAAGGATTGCCTCCTAAAGGTCTCTGCTCCGATGCCAGGACACCAGAGAAAAGTCCCATCCCCCCAACCCCTACAAAACACTCTCCAACCACTCTGCCCATGTGCACACACTTGTTTGCACACACTTGTCCACAAGAACCACACCCCCATGCATGCATCAACTCCAGGCACTGTGCACCCCCTCCTCACACTCCACTTCCCGGCTCAACCCCCTGCACCAGGTGCTGGCTGTAACATTCCGAAGTTCACAGAGTGGCAAATAAAGGCCCTCCACGACAGGATGCCCCATCACACCCTCCCCACCCCGTGGGGAGGACACCAGTTACAGTTAAGGAAGGACAGATGGCACACAAGTCCGAGGAGACCCCATGACCCACAGCACCCACCCCGTCACTTACACCCATCAGAGAGGGACATCTTTTAGCCCCACCCAGGTCAGCACCAGCTCAGCCTCCAGCCAGCACTGTGGATGGAAATTTCGGCAGAGAACTCACGGGAGAGAGGCCAGAAAAGGAGTCCCTGAGCTAACACTGACATGTAACACAAGGCTGCACCTCTGCCAGACAAATTCACGCGACAGACTCAAGCAGGATTCAGAAGTATTAAAATGGTAAGTGCTACACAAAAGTTGAGGGTTTTTCAGAAAATGATTTCCCCTTGAGCTACCACCATTTAGTATGGAAATAGTACGATAATGCTGGTGAAAATACTTGGGGATCTTATAAAGCTGAGGAAATCGACTCGTACCAAGAGGAATACAGGAGAACCCTGGCAGCCTTTTCGAAACACGTAACATCCTATCACTGAGCCCCACCAGACCGGTCACCACAGGACTGGCAATGATCATTTGTAAATTCCCTGGGTGACCCTGACAGCCAGTTACCCTCTCTGCTCTCCACCAATCCCAGCCCCTCTTGAGATCCATAAGCTCAAGAGAAAAAAGATGATGGGTTAAATAGTCCAAGTTCACAATCAGCCCCTTAACTAACTTGCTGTGTGATTTTCAGAAAATTACTCAACTTCTCTGCTCTTCAGGTGCCTCCCGAGAAAACAGCCAGCAGACCACTCCATTATTCTGCCCAACAGGTACTCTCTGTCAATAATGTCAAAGGTGTACTTTCAGTGCTGTCTTGCTAATACCTCGTAAGACATTTACCTGGGTGGTACCAATGTTCATCTACAATTCACACTTCATCTGCTTATTGGGAAAAACATTTCCTTGGAGGTGCAATGCTCTGGGTATTTTCACTGCTTAACCCCCAATTGTTTTGTGGATCTTTCCCTAACCCCGTGGTCAGCAAACCTCAGCTCTAAAGCCTCATGTGGCTCTTTGGCCCCTTGAGTGTGTCTCGGCATTAGAACCACTTCTTCAAAATAGACTCGCCCGGGCTGAAAACAGACTTCTGCGCACGGGCCACGAAGTTTCAACTGCACTGTACGTGCACGCCCGCATGTGATATTTTGTGGAAGAGCCATACTCAAGGGGCCAAAGAACTGCATGTGGCTCGAGAGCCGCGATTTGCCGACCACTGCACTAACCCATGGTTCTTTTTTTTGTTAATCCTCACCCAAGGATATTTTTCCATTTCTTTTCTTTTTTTAGGGAGGAGATGGGGGAGAGAAGAAAGACACCAATGTGACAGAAGCACATTGACTGGCTGCCTTTGGTGTGAGGGCCGACGCTCTGATCCCTGAGAAACCCCAGCCAGGGCTAACCCAGGGTTCTTCACCTGCTGCACGCTGAAACCATCCGGGAGCCTGGAAGTTTCCAATGCCGAGCCCCCGTGGAGACTGCCTTGGCTCAGACACCGAGCTCCCCAGTGACTCTGGTTGGCAGCCAGGGCTGCAAACACGTGCGATGATCAATGCCCCTGTGGGGCCTACGCTTGCTCTTAGCCAGGGACCTTCCAGCTGTGTGATTTGGGACAAACTATTAACTGCTCTCATCCTCATCTGAGAAAGCGGAGATAAAAACAGCTTCACCTCACTGGGTTGTTGTGAAGATGAAAAATGAACGTGACATACACAGACACACATGAGGCACTTAGCAGAGTCCTCAGCATCCTGCAAGTGCTAAATAAGTTCAACTGCTATCACTGCAATCACTTTTCCCAGCATCTTCAGAAGGGACAGGCACCCAGGTCCTTGATGCTGGAAGGCACAGGAGGGCGCTCTGCCCCAGGCACCTGGCCACCTGAGGTCTGCTCTCCCTGAGCTGTTTACCAGCCCCAAGCACAGAAGGCCTCACGCTTATTTGAGAGCAGACAGGGGTCACGTGGGCCCAACAAAAACTCCCGGTGGGCAGCTCCTCTCGCCACCAGCCAGACACATCCAGAAGTTCTCAGGTGCCTACTGCCGAGTCTCGGTCTCCAGGAAGGAGACAAAGCACAAATGAGAATAATTCACTTGCCCAGGAATAAATGTCCAGCATTTTCCAAGCGCTTTAACACCTCAGTGAGGTTTCCCAGCCTTCTGAGAAAGGCTCTTTAGTTACCTCCAATGTATAGGCTAGAAAACTGGGGCTCAGAGGGGACAAAGCACAGATGATTCCTGGACACAAAACTCCTGCTGCAGAGCAGTCCAGTGGTGTGAGCAGCAGCTGGGTAAGATTACTCTGCATTCAAGGACAGGGTTTAAGTGGTTCGTCCTCTTCCTTTCGCCCCCAACGTGGAAATTTCCCAGCCACCACCATCACAGACGGTTTCCTTGGGTAACACTTAGGAATGGCAATATTATCTATAAACTTCTGGGTTTAATGAATGCAAGAAAGCAGAAAAGGGAGGAAGGCAAGGCGCTGGCTGGCATGGTCAGCAGGAGTGAGAACCAGTTTCCTCCATCGTTACTGGAGGGTCACAGTCACGATAGCAGGCCTGCACGGTGTGCGTGCTGCCTCACTGTCACGCAGAACACGCCTGGACCCTCTCTGCCACGGGAAGGCCACATCCGTGCCTAACCCTGTCTCCCCTCCTCCCTGCCTTCTGCTGAGGGAAGAATCGCAGCGCAAATTCTCCCGCGTCCACAGTCTTGGGAAGCCCGGGGCTGGCAGCCAGTCCGACGGGACAGTGTGAGCCAGCCAGCCAGCTGGCTGGGAGCCTGGAGGCCGGGTGGCAAGGACCCCAGTGGGCCGCCGGGGCTGGGCTGGCACGGCGCTGGCCTGGTGACAGGAGACGCCATTGTTAGAAGTCACTGGCATGCCATTGAAATTAAAATGCATCTACCAGGCAATCATCCTGGAGCAAAGTGACTTTAATTTGCCAAAGTGGCAAACTGCAATTATTGCTCAAAATGACATCCCTGCCTGTATGACAACATTTAATACTCTCTAAAAAAAGTTCCTTAATTGCATGCATAATTTTAAATTACTGTAATTTGTTGAAGATTCTGTGAAAACCCTTTTATTTATTTTTTTTCCTTGAAAGATAAAAGGAAACAGAAGGATAATGGAAAGACTCAAGATTCTATAAGCATGCTGTAGGATTTCAGGGACAGCGTAGACGCAGGTGACACAGGAGCTCTCTGAAACGAAGTGAAGATGAAAGATTCTTAAAAGTGCAAGTATGTTAGACAGGAAAGTTTAAAACCCCAGGAGGGTCCAGGTCATTATATTGTTATGCTGTACCTTCAACTTACTGTCTTAAAAGCTCATATTCAACAGAGTGTGACGTTTCCCATTTATATTTCTCTGTAAGGGATGAAGAATGTCTGTGCCCGCAACTCATTAAAATAGTAAAAACAGATATTGCCATTGTTATTCTTTATTTCTTTTCTTCTTGGCCATTGTTATAGAATTTTCTTAATTACGGATAAGCCAAAAGGTACACTTTTAGCCGAGACAAAAGACGAAACAATGTCATTATTATAGTAAGTTCAACCCAATTTCTATAAAATTTAAGTTGAACAAAGAGTCTTAATACAAACATTTTATTACGTGAAGTCTAAGCTCAGCTGTGTTCTCCACCTTTCTTTTCCAGGAACTCCATCTAGACAGGAAAAGCTTCTTTAATCTGCAGAAGCAGCCTGAAGCCAATTCCCGTAACTACAGAAACAGCTTCCCAGTCCCTCTGCCCCTTAAGTTTGTGTGGGGGATTCAGCCGAGACACAGGCACACAAACCTCAGGTCTGACAGAGGTACGAACATACGAAGGGGCGGGCAGAGCACAGGGTCCCCAGAGCGGTCCTCCAGGGGTGCTCTGCCCCAGGTGCCTGGCTGAGGGGCATGTCAGAATGAAACCCAATGAGCTCCTTGCCCATCAAGTCTTGAACCCTAAGAGCGGGCAGGTCCACTGGCACAAGGCGGCACTTTATCTCTGCAAAGGCCCGTCTGCGTCCACCTGGAGGCGGTGGCCTTTCTCTAACCCACCCATGGCCCTGTACTGGGCAGCAGGGCTCCTGGGTCAGAGCACTGCTAGGTCCCTCTGACCCCTCTGCAGGGGAGGAGAAGGAACAGAATCCACCCAGAAGCCCTCTGCAAACCCAAGTCCCCAGTCACACATCCAAGGTGCGAGGTGCTGGGGGTGAGGGGGGAAAAGGAGGAGGAAGAGGTACAGAAGTCTCCTGGGAGTGCCATTTCTGGGACATGTGGCACCCTTTCCAGGTGAGTCTGATGAACCCAAAGTGAGACGTGGAAGGCGTGCCTGGAGCACACAGGGCTCCGTGACCACGTTGGTCAGCCTCCTGCTAGAGGGGGGCAGGTGTGACTGTTTTCACGGAGGTGGCTCCCAGGGCGGGCACGACTCCCTGGGAACTGCCTCGGCGCCTGTGCAGGCAGCCGGGCATGCCAGGGCCTGCGGCCAAGGCCTGAAGTCCAGCACACGTGTGAGATGGGTGAGCAATCTAAAAGGTGAAAGTATTTATGATCTCATTTCACTGGAAAAGATGGTTGTAAGCTGCCATCCTGCAAAGCAGTGATTCCCACACTTTGGGGCGGTTACGCCTTCTCTGTGGATTTAACCAGGCACTTGGCCTCTGTGTGCTTTAGATTCTTAGACTTTGTTAAAATGAGGGCTGAAATCTACTCTAAAAACATGGTGCCCTAACTGGTTTGGCTCAGTGAATAGAGCGTCAGCCTGCGGACTCCAGGGTCCCAGGTTCAATTTTGGTCAAGGGCATGTACCTTGGTTGTGGGCACATCCCCAGTAGGGAGTGTGCAGGAGGCAGCTGACCGATGTTTCTCTCTCATCAATGTTTCTAACTCTATCCCTCTCCCTTCCTCTTTGTAAAAAAAAAAAAAAAAAATCAATAAAATATATTTAAAAAATAAATTGATTTTAAAAAAGAAAAAAAAGAAGATGGTGACATGACAGCCATGGACCAAGACTGAGGAAGCCCCTGGCTTAGCAGTGGGTGACCCTGAAACGCATTCCATGGTTGTAAACATGCACATACACGAAACCTAGGCGGTCGGTTCCTCTGTGTCCCTACCACTCTGTCCCTCTCCGACGTGCAATTTCCTATGAGCCATAGAGAGAGAGAGTCCAGATTAGAAACTCAGGGCATTTAAAAACCACTTTTCCCTGGACTCTCCCGCTGGTCTTTGGTTTCTGTGTGAATTGCTTCCTTATCACATCCCTCCGAAACCACCACAGGCCCCCAGCACAGCCCCGCCCGCCCACGGCATCCTGCCCGGGGAAAGCTGGCCCAGCGGGCAGAAGAGAAGGGGCCCCACTTTGACTCTGACTTTGACTTCGGAGAAGAGCATCTCAGAAGCTCCTCCATGGCTTCTGGCCACAGCCCAGGGAGGGGGAGGGCAGGACTGTTGGGGAAAGGGCAGCAGGTATGGGCATGGGCACAGGGCACAGGGCTCACCTTCACGTTGGGCGTGTAGAGGTTCCTGAGCGAGGCCAGGGCGGCAGACAGCCCCTCCGTGCTGTACCCGATCCACAGGGCTTGGAGATGGCTCGAGGAGATCCCCGTCTTCTTACTGAGGCCCTGGAAGGAATAGGAGACAAACGGCCTCAGCGTCTCCTTCCCCGCCTGCAGCGCTGGGACGCCCGGGGTGTGGGTGCAAGCGGACACGCTGAGCTGTGGAAAGAACGCCCGGACCTGCGAGCCTTCTCTCCTGAAAACCAAGGGGCGAGCACCTAGCCTGCCTCTGCGCTCGGCCTGTAGGCCTGAGGAAAGAGATGGCCGATGAGGAGAAAGTTTCTTCTCTTCATAGAAGTTCTCCCGTCAATCAAAAGAAGAATCAATGAGAAAACATCACCATTCTGTAACCCACACGGAGCGCATGGTCCAGGCAGAGACCCGCAGCGGCGGCTGGCATCCCACCGGAGAGGCCGCACACCGCTGTGCCTCCCGCTGCGGGAACCCACACAGAGTTACCCGGAGTGTGAACCCCGGTGCAACCAGGAAGCCATCAGGACACCCTGGGGGGGGGGGGGGCCCGGAATCAAACCTGGATCTGATTAAGCCTTCACATGTGTCAAACACAAGGCCCGCGGGCCAAATCCGTCCCGCCAGGCCTTGCAATATGGCCCGCACCGCGCTGTCATCACTGCACACCACGGCGTTTCCATCACAATGACAGTTTATGACTGTTCAGTAAACCATTCGGCCCGCGATTTAGGCTGGATTTTAGATTTTGGCCCCTTCCCTGATTGAGTTAGACACCCCTACTAGATGCAACTATCAAATAAGAAATCCAGAGGATCATGAACGAGATGCTGAGAAATAAAAACAATCAGAAAATCCAGGTGGTGCAAAGCTAGAGGTCCAGCTGAACTTGATTCTAAATTCAGTAAAATAAATTGTCCGACTATAGAGACAAACTAACTAACTAACTAACTAGAGGTCAAGTAACTCATGTTCTTTGACAACTAAAGGACCAGGAAACCAAAGAAAATGAATGAAATGGCAACTTCAGGTGGAAATAAACTTAGGAAGGACTTAAAGGGGGCGGGGGCAGTACAAACGTGATCCTAGCATTTAGATGATACACAGGTGAGTGACTAACTCCGAACAGTGGTGACTTTTAGGAAGAAGGGAGGGGCTGTATTTGGAATGGGGCTCATGGAGGGCTGATAAAGCTGCTGAAATTCTCTGAAACCAAAAACTGAACAAGACAAGGACGACAACAGTGAGAGCCATCGTCTCGGTGGAGTGTGTCTCACCTTGAAAATGTGTGCCTTCAGGATGTGGTGCCCGAGCTCCATGGTCTGCTGCCGGTTCAGCTTGCCCTCTTGTCGAGAGAACATGAACGCCAGGAGAGCGTGCCCGTTCCTGGGGCCAGAAACACAGGCTTGTAACAAACACCCCGTCCTACCGCACCCCGGCCCTCCGGTGAGGACATCGCCGCACACACCCCAAAACCCTGGCACATTAAGATGCGAAATGTCTCTTTATGGAAGTACTTACTTTACTCACTACCACCTATTAAGCATCTCTGCAAAAAAAAATTTTTAAGTAAAATAATATCTGATCAAGCCTCCAGATTTAACTACCAATTTATAGAAAATAAAGGTGAAAAAAAAAAACCCACATTAATAACTTCCCTGAGAACACAATCAGCAAAATCCACATTAAGGGAAACTAACAGCACTAACTATGCAGTTGATTTTTTTAAACAAATAAAATGCAAAGAAAAAACAAAAGGTGGGAATCTGTAGATTAAAAGAGACACAATAAAATGCCTCTTAGGGTCCTCATCTGGATCCTGATTCATACATACTAAAAAATAGGAAGAAAGTGGGGAAATCTGAGCATAGATAAATGTGTTGATACTGGTGATCTAGTGTCAGTATTTTAGGTGTTGTGGCTAAGTATGAAAATCTTTTTTTTTGTTTTGTTTATAGCTGACTATTTCAAGTAAAATATCATGAAGTCTATAATTTATTTCAACAAAAAATAACAGATGGAGCAAATATTGTAAAATGTGAGTCATGTTTAAGCCCAGGTGATGAGAATGAGGCTTTGAGTAACTTTACTCTTTAACTTGATAATTCTGTTCCTGGATTCAAACCTAAGGGATAATCAAAATCAGAAAGGAAAGAAGGAGGCCGGAGGGGGGGGTGGGGCAGGGAGAGGCAGGGGGGAAGACAGGGGGTATAAAGGGGAGGAACAGATGCTCTTAAGTACTTCCCTCTTGCCCTAGCAGGTTTGGCTCAGTGGACAGAGGGTCAGTCTGTGGACTGTAGGGTCTCAGGTTCGATTCAGGTCAAGGGCATGTACCTCAGTTGCAGGCTGTTCCCCAGTCAAGGCCCTGGATGAGGCGCGTGTAGGAGGCAACCAATTGGTGTGCTTCTCTCACTTTGATATTTCTCTCTTCCACTCTCTCTAAAACTCCACGGAAAAATATCCTTGGGTGAGGATTAAAAAAAAACAACACTTCTCTCTGTAACAGCCCCCATTACACAAGGAGAGGATGATGCGCTTCCTCTTTTACAGATGAGGAGACTCGGGCTTGGAGAATTAAAGTAAGCTGTGCGCAAGAGTCACACAAGGTACTAATGAAACAGGATTTCATTATCCCCTCCCGAGGACGTGCTTAGAGAGAAACATCAGTCGTTGCCTGCTATGCGTGCCCTGACCAGGGACTGAATCCACAACCCAGGTATGTGCCCCGACTGGGGATCAAACAAGCAACCTTTCCGTGCACGGGACAACGCTCAACCACTGGAGCCACTCTGGTTAGGCTGGAAACAGGATTCAATCCGGACCTCCCTCAAAAGCTCCTGCGCTCCTGTAAGGCACCTAGATATTCACAATAGATTCATGTGTTTATCACTAACCCAGAAACAACGTAAAAGCCCCACAATAAGGGTGCCATTTGCCTCCTAAGAGTTTTGCACAGCCATGCAAAATGACACTAAGATAGTCAAGCAGCTTTATAAAATGTCCACAACACATTAAGCAAAGCAAGCAGAATGGGAATTTTCATGGCAGGAAAAAATAATGTGGAGAATATTTAAAATGCACGGAAAGGGGCAGAAGTGAAAAATGAAGTGCCACTGCCTCTGGGTATTGGATTCTTTCTTCTCTGCAACTGGGGAATATTACAGCTAACTGAGGTGGGCAGAGAAATGTTACCCATTCTTCAAGGCCCAACGCAAAGAGTGACATGTATGTGGAACATACTGCAGACAGGGCCATCCCAGCGGGCGCTGCTTCTCTTTCCTGAGGCCCGGCACGGTCCCTGCCGCCCCACGGGCCCTCCTGTGTGGGAAGCCCTCCTGGGGCGAAGCCCTCCTGAACTGGGCTCTCGCCCCAGGAATTTCTCTATCCGCCACACGACCCTGCATGTCGTGGGTCCACAAGAACTTGTGCTGAACTAAGTCCAGCAGCTTCCCTCCAACATGGTTCTGTACACTGCCTGTCTGCTGAGGGGAGGTGGAGAACCAGAGGGGTCTTGGGTAAATGCTGGCTGGCACCATTCTGAGAGGTAACAACTCCTTTGCACCTGGGTGCCTCTCTTGCTGAGCCTAGTCCTGGCCCTGCCCCCGGAGGTCCCCACGCCTGCATACAGAAACACATCAGGGCTCAGCAGTCCATGACCAAAGGTGACAACCCATCAGGCACCCCGCTCTCAGCCCTACCCTAGGCTGCATGACCTCAACGCCACCTGCCACCCAAAGGGAGTGCAGCTTAACTGTGACCGCAGTCCAAACCTCCGTAACAAACCTACACCCACTATTGAAATCTTTCAACTTGTTTTTGTGTTTTTCTTAAATCCCGAGGACATGTTTATTAATTTAATTAATTAATGTATAAATATATTTTATTGTTTTTTTTTACAGAGAGGAAGGGAGAAGGATAGAGAGCTAAAAACATCAATGAGAGGGAAACATCAACCAGCTGCCTCCTGCACATCCCCTACTGCAACCAAGGTACATCAGAATTGAACTTGAGACCTTTCAGTCCACAGGCCAGTGCTCTATCCACTGAGCCAAACAGGTTTCAGCTTTTTATTAATTTGAGAGAGAGAGGAAGGGGAGAAGGAGAGCAAGAGAGACGGAGAAAGAGAAACACTGATGTCAGAGGACATCAATCCATTGCGTCTCGCACGTTGCCCTGACCGGGCATTGAACTGGAAACCTAGATAGATGCCCTGACCAGAACTGCACCCACAGTCTTTTGGTGTATGGGAGGTCGCTCCAACCACTGAGCAACCCAGGCAGGGCTCAACTTGTTTTTGTGTCTCTACAGATTCAAAACAGCCTTTCTTTTTTCAGTAAATGATCTGACTTCTCCCAGGAAATCCCCTGACCTAAATATGTCAGGGAATACAATATACCTAGTAATTATGGTCTGGCTCAATAACCTGGGAGTTATAGTTTATGGCCCCAAACCAGGTTCAAAAGGACAATTCTTAGCCCCGGGTCACCTGGGAAATAATAGTCACAACATGAAACAGCAGCCAGACCTCTTGGTCAGCATTGCCAACCATTTGTGGGGAGGGAGGTGGTGTGCTGGTCACAAGTTCTCACTGATATCTGGACCCGAGCGCCTGGTCGAATGCCCAGGCCAGCGGAAAGGGACAATTTAGCAGCTGGCCAGACGTGCTGCAGGAGTCGGGAGTAATTCTGCCTCCCAGAGAGCAGGAGCCCTTTAAGACAGCGATGGCGTGGGCCAGGGCCAGTCAGCGGTGGCGGACATGAACACACCCTGATGTGAAAGTACCCGCACCTTCAAATCCCTGACCTCACGCTGACCAGCATTAGGCCCACAACAGCTCACGGCTGCCTCCTGCCTGGGGCAGGAAGGAGAACTGCATCTGGGCCCCGCCCTGTGGCAGATCCTCAGTGGAACCTCCAACTCAGCGACTGCAGCTGCCCTACCACCGTCTCCTACGTGGGGCACCTGCGATCTGAACCTCAATCCCCCTCAGACCACAAATCTCAGCCTGTTACCCTGAGCTCAACCACAAACTCAAAGCCACGTGGCCAGCTGTGGGCGCGGTGCTCTGCTCTGGGCCAACAGCCACGTCCGATCCCTGGGACAAGCTACACAGTGGGTGGAGGAAGGTGCTGGGGCCCCAGTCAGCCCACAGACCCTCAAGGGAAGGCAGTGGCTGGGAACAGCTTCTGGGGAAGCCCACTGTTTCCTGGAGGCGACACCACGCCTTCCCACCACGGATGGCCCCTGGGACAGCAGGCGGGGTCTAAAAAGAGAATGAATGATGGCAAAGAAACTGCACCGAGGCATCGCTTGGCATCTCTCCACCCACATGTACCCAGGAGTCCTAACGTCCTAGCAATGACTTTATGATAGCAGCAGAGAGAATGTGCCAATACTCCTCCTGAATGTTTCAGTCTGTGTTGCCTTTCCACTGAAGAACACGGGAACTGTGTTTGAAATGCCTTCCTCACGTGCCCCTCAGACTCCCCGCCCAGAGCAGACGGAAAGCGCCCCGTTGTACCTGGGCTCGCACAGGAAGGCCGTGTTCTCACCATCCGCCCTCCAGACCAGCCACTCCCTGAAGGACGGGTGGCAGAACATGCGGGTCTTGTCGCGTCGCTTGATGAGGAAGCAGGAGAGGGCCTCCATCCTCTGCTGGAAGTCCTCCCGGCCCTGCTCCCCCTGGACGTGGCCGGCGTTGATGGCCTGGAAGATCTGTTCGTCCGTCATGGGGTGGAGGGACGCGAGGGCCACGTTCAGGATGGGGAGCGCCCGCTCGAAGGCGGACTGGGTCATGAACTTCATGTTGCACTGCAGCAGGTAGAGCTCGGACAGCGACACGGGCACCACCTTGTAGCTGGCGCTCTTGATGACCAGGTGGCCCCTCTGGAAGAGGTCCAGGGTGAGCTTGAGGTACAGGTAGGAGCCGAGGCTGCGCAGCACCAGGTGGCTGCTCACCTTCCCGATGAGGGCGGCGTCGGCCTTGCCGTTCAGGGAGATGTTGCTGAGGATGTCCGGGCTGCTGTGCACCCGGTGCTGGACGTAGGCGTGCAGGTCGCTGTGAATGTCCTTGTTGTCGGGAAAGTCGTCCAGGGAGAGCTTGACGAATGGCAGCCCGCTGACGATTTCCTGGGGGGCGGGGAGGGGATGAGACGGGGAAGAAGAAAATCCAGTGTCACTGCACGGAGGCTTCTTTTTTATGTCAGCTGCTTTTCAAACCAGATTCCCTAGGTTTCTTTCAAGGGGGGGATTTGCGTGGATTACAGGGACTCATTATTTCGTACTAAAACGTGTAATAGGGTAAGTTGAAGATAAAAAGCTTATGTGAAAGAAATCCTGATGTGAGATGGAATCAGTAAAGGCTTCCCTGAGATTCGCAAACTCGGAGCCCAGCAGGAGGAGGCAGGAGGCCCGGCGACGAGGCCACCTGGCCAGACCCACAAAGGGGCCGTGAGGCCCCAGTGGACCTGACACCCGTCATCCTTACATTGTGCAACTGGTTACACAACGGGACGAACACAGCTGCCACTGTACTCCTCAGAGCACGGCCAGGCCCTGAGGTAAGAGGCATCCTGCTCCTGCAGAGGCCCACACGCACGGCCCTACCCTAGCACAGCCCCTGGTTGCTTTCTCAAATTGTTGGTTTTTAATAAATTTTTAAATGGAAGCGGTACATCCAGAAGTGCACGAATTGTCATCATCATTGCCCAGTGTCATTAATGTTCACGAAGTCAACAAGCACACCTGGTCCAGAAGCTCAGAGCACCAGCGCCCTGGAAGCCCCTGGTCCCCAACCCTCTCCCCCAGCCCCGAGGGAAGCACATCCTGACCATGCACAGCACAGCGGAGGAGGAGAGTTTGGTGGGTTTTCTTTAATTTCCCACTGTCGTTTCTGAAGTACGTGAGCACATGTCCTCAGGGAGTACAGGGAGTCTGGGAGGCGGGAGGAGCACAGTCGCCCCCATGTCACGTGCATGCTAACAGAACCCCGGGCAACGCTCCTCCCCATGCCCGCCGACGGCCAGGCTCTGCATGACTGGGAAGGGTATGGACCCAATTCCCAACCACAGTACATCAAGTTCAACCGAGGTCTAACGCCACTTTTGATGAGAAAAGGAAGAACCCAAATGCTCTTGTAAAATAAACAGCGTCATAAAAGGGCAAACATCTAATGTCTTTCCTAAATGGTGGTTGAGATACACTTGCAGGGTTCAAGTGAGGGGAAACACGAGGAAGAGAATTCTATAAAATCACTCTTCCCTTCCCGGCAAATGTTACCTCATGCGGGGTGGGGAGGGGGATAGGCCTTCTCTCAGAAGAGGTCTTAAAAATCCCCTTCCTCATCTCTCCCATTTTTTCTTCATACAAACACACACACACCAAGGTCCCACTGCAGAGCAGGGCACACGGCCACTCGGAGGAATAACTTCACCTTCTGTGAGACCTGCTTGCTAGACTCCTCATCCCGGGCAGTGGTGAACCAGGCCTAGACCAGCGTTTTTCAACCGCTGTTCCGTAGCACACTGTTGCCTGGTGTGCCGTAGGTGCAGACAAGACAAGAATTTTATAATTTTTCACTATTTTGTTTACTTAATATTTCATAATAAGGTAATTATAAAATACTTTCTTTGTGCTTATTTGATTCCTATTCAAGAGAATTACTTTATATATAGTCAATATAGGCACAGAGTTAAATTTTTTAACATTTTCTAATGGTGGTGTGCCTCGTGATTTTTTTCATGAAACAAGTGTGCCTTTGCCCAAAAAAGGTTGAAAAACACTGGCCTAGACACTCCGTGTACAAGGACAAGCGCAGCTCCGTACGAATGGAAACTTACCTGACACGGTGAAAAATGTGCCTTGGGCGGGGGAAGGGGGGGGAAAGGTTAGAGTTTTGCTCACTTGGGACTCTGTGAGCAAATATTTTGCTCACAATATTTCATAAAGTCTTAATATAGTTTTCAATTCAGCAGCTAAATAGACCACAACTGTTTAAATTGTTAGCATTCGTCACTTTTACATTTGAGAATAAGGACTTGGAAAAAGAGTCGAAAATTTTTTTTTTTTTTTACCTGGAAATTTGCTCTTACAGTCACAATCAACTTCAACCAGGCAGGAAACTTAGAGATAATTTTGGTAATAAATGAAGAAAGCGTGTCTCCATAATCAGGTTTATGAAACTCGGCTTCATTTAGGCCATCGATCAAGATAATGTATTCTTCTTCAGGAATTTTCTGCTCTGAAAGATAAAATGTTTTTTAATTAAGAAAGTATACATTTCTATACGATGGCACCACCCAATGTATTGTAACGCACCACGTAGAGTGTTGGGAAAAACTGGAAAGGTCTCCATATGGCAGGAGAAATGGTTTGCATGGAAGCATATTGCCTATTAAACTTATAATGAAAACCAGAGCGCCGAGCCAAAAAGAAAACCACTTCTCACAGAACGGTTTCCAGAAACAGATTGCATTACACACACTTGGCAGAATGTCGCCCGTGTATATGATGCAGTTCACTCTTCGTAAGCGGCTGTCTCTGGGTGAGACAGCGAAGATGACATACACAGAGGAAATCTGGAAAAGACCCTCAGGCCCCCTTCCTCGCTGACAGAACACCCCCAGTGGATTTCTGGGAAAGGACTGACCCCCAAAGGGCGAAGCATCCAGCCCAAGGCATACAGCTAGCCAGGAGTGAGCACTCTCCTCCAAACCTACATCTCGTTCCCTATTGATCGGCACCAACTTTCTGCCCAGGGAACGGAGGGAAAACCATGGCATCGGCTCCAATGCCCTCTCCCCAGCACCTTTTGGAGGAAGTGCTGTGAAGGCAGTAAACTGGCTCAAACGATGAGGAGGAGGGAAGATGAAAAAATGAAGGGCCCGTAACAGCACTAATGCCCCGACCTTGTAAAATATTCAAGGGCAACAAGGTCAGACTTCCAGAAATGGCTTCAGGCTCAACTCACCTGAGCAGAGGCCCTGAACAAAACATGCTGGCAATCTCCCTAAACCAGTGGTTGGCAAACCGAGGTTCGAGAGCCACATGCGGCTCTTTGGCTCCTTGAGTGTGGCTCTTCCACAAAATACCACGTGCCCTAATTAAGTTAATAACAATGTACCTACCTATATAGTTTAAGTTTAAAAATTTGGGTCTCAATAGAAATTTTAATCGATGCACTGTTAATATTTGGCTCTGTTGACTAATGAGTTTGCCGACCACTGTCCTAAACAATGACCTTGTCCCTGCTAGGCGGGAGTGCAAACCTGGCAGGCAGCAGTGCCTGGAGCCTCTACAGGATCTACAGGCACCAATTAGCTGCTTTGGAAATGTGTCTGTTGGGGAGTTACTTGTTAGAGGTGCTTCGTTTATTTGGGAATATTATGCTAAGCAAAATAAGCCAGTCAGAGAAAGACAAGTATCACGTAATCTCATTCAGATGTGGAATCCAATGAACAAAATAGGTCCCGAGACACAGCAGCATGGAACAGACTGCGGCAGACTGCTCCGAGGGTGGGTGGGAAGAGATCCACCAAGAACTTGCATGCACAGATGCATAAGCCATGGACACGGACAACAGGGTAGTTAAGGCCTGGGGGGAGAAGGGGGCACGCTAGAAGGGGTAAATGGGGGAAACGGGGGCACATGTGTAATGCCTTCAACAATAAATAAAACTACACCATTTGGGAGGGGCCTCAGCGAGATGGCTCTGAGGAAGGGGATGCAGGCCCACCCACCCCCTCTCCCTGCGCCATCTCGCTCCCGCCACAGGAACACGCTACCCCCTCCTTCTGAGGACGGCCCTGGGGGCTCTGGGAGGGCTGCTGGAGGTACTACCGTTTCTCAGGCTCGTGAGCGGCTCCAGCACTCCCCTCTTGAAGGCAGCCACGGGGTCCTGCACACAGGACCGGAGGCTCAGCATGCTCTGCAGCTGGGGCTCCCTGATCAGCAGGTCCCTGTAGGCGGCCAGCCGATGGGACCGGCACAGCAGCGCCGCGATGCTGTGCACGAACTCGGGCACCAGGCACGTGTACGTGTTGTCCGCCTGGCAGTAGTGGTAGGCCACCACCTGGTGGGGGGAGAAGCAGACCGTCAGCGTCACCTCACCCTCTTCACATCCACACCACAAAGGACCCTGGAGAAGTTCAGCGGGGACAAAGTCAGAAATCACCCAATTCCTGCCCGTCCTGTGAAAGGACAAGGGTTGGTTCCTGCCTGAGCATTCAGAGGAGGAGGATGGGTCCCTTTCAACTCTCACACAAGGACAAAGTCCTCTTGGCTGCCCATGCCAGCCATGCGACGCAAGGAGCAGGGATCTGGGGTGGAGAAGCACTCCTTTCAGCCCCTGTACCTACCTCCTGGCCCAGCCCGGGCTTTCCTCACTAGAAGCCCTTCATCACCGCCCAATCCCGATGGTTCTCCAGTTCCACTGTCTCACACCACGGCTGCTGGGGAGACCCACACTGCTCCCCAGGAGCGAGATGTAACAGATTTAACGCAGGAGGGTGGCTTATGAACCAGTGATGGAAGCTCAGCAGATGGAAAATTTCAGAAGGATCTTGACGACCACGAATGTAGGAAGGAAAGGCCAGCCAAGTCTCTTTTACAACCTCAAAAGGAATCCCTGACAGAGAGACAGGGGCCGCAGGCAACAGAGCGTAGGCTCCCAACCTCCTGCTCTCCTTCCAGCTGTAAGGGCAGGTGTGTGGAAGTGCAGGAATACCGCCTGCTGATCAAGGAGTTTTCAGTCCATCATTTAAGATGCATACAAGTCCACTGCCAATGTCTGAAGCTATTTATTTTCTTTTTTTTTTTTAAATATATTTTATTGATTTTTTACAGAGAGGAAGGGAGAGAGAGATAGAGCGCTAGAAACATCGACCAGTTGCCTCTTGCACATCCCCTACCGGGGATGTGCCTGCAACCAATGTACATGCCCTTGACAGAAATCGAACCTGGGACCTTTCAGTCCGCAGACCAACGCTCTACCACTGAGCCAAACCGGCTTCGGCTGAAGCTATTTATTTTCATTAATACCTTTCACTTGCAGAACTCCGTCACAATTTTATCCAAAGCTGTACTTTTGCATTAAGCCATTGCTGTCTCTTTTTCAAGATCCCTTTTATAATTCATTTTTCAGAAGCCCAACTCTCCAAGTTCTCAAAGACCAGGAGCACATTACCTTGGACGCGAGGAATTTTGGATGCACATTACCTTGGATGCGAGGTGTTTTGCTGCATCCTCTCTCGGTCTCTGGTTTTCAGAAGCATCAGATCCCAACCCAGCAGGCGTTTTGGCTGTGGTGGTACCACCGGGAGAAGTACTCGGTGAGAGCAGTGGAGTGAATGGAAGATCCGGGGAGGAATCTGAAGCTATAGAGGAAAGAGACCAATTCCATCATTTACAACATCAGAATGGGGAAACGCGTGGTGGGGCAATGAAGTATTTCTTGATTAGAGACCTAGAGCTTAATGAGTGAACGCAGGTGCACATGAGAACACCTGTCCCCTCTCAGCCCTGTCTCCCACCCACCAGTTGGAGAACTGGTTTCTCATTTCTTCTATTGCACGACTTTTGGTTTTTTAAAAAAAACTTGCGTGGCTCACTTGTTCCTGGTTCACTATGCTGGAGACATTTTCATGTGTTTATGACACATAAAATAAGCCATAAACAGTCACATCTTTGGACACTCCATCCCATTTCTAAGTTGACTTTTGCATTTTTGGTGAATCCAGCAAGGAAGACAAAGGCGGAGCACAGGGCGCAAAAGCATTCTGCACCGACTCCTTCTGGCTTGTCCTGCCAGGAGCCTCCCCACCTCAGCTTTAGAATTCCAATTCCCCAGGCACTTGAGGGGGCCTTGTCTCTGCTCCCAGAAAGAGGGAGGCATGCTTTGCAGCTGGGAGGCAACGGGGAAGGTCTGCCTCTAGGCAGAGGTCACAGTGACACAAGCTCTATGACGGACAGACGGACACCCAAACAGTTCAACACACGATCGCAAGCCTGACAGAACAGCTGGGAAAACTTGAGGAAACCGGGAATTTATGTCTATCCAAGCAGCAACTTCCTCCATCTATCGGGTATTAATATAATAAGCCAGGCAAGTAGTTGAACTCAGACATACTTTTAGGTGACGAGCCGGGGCTGTTGGAAGCAATCTGCCTCATGCGGCTCCCGTGGCAGCTCAGTGCCACCAGCTTGGAAATGATCGCCGTCTTCCCGAAGCCCACGTTCCCCACCACCACCGCCCCGCGGTTCTCCGCCTGCTCCGGGTTCCGCAGGCTCTGCTCTATCTGCCGGAAGAGCCACTCCCTCCCCACAAACACGGAGTCAGTGGTGATGCTCGGTACTTCAAACAGCAGGGGCTTCAGCAAGATGTCTTGTGGCTTGTAGGGAGCAAATCGTGCTGAGGGAAGAAAAAAGATTATGATTTCAGAAGAATGCCATAATTGTATACACTTAAAAAAAACACCTCCCTTTATCATTGCATATATGTTACACTTAGTATTCGCAGCCTACAGTTTTACCCCAAAAGCTATCTGTATTTCCCATCTGATCCTATGAATACTCCTGAAATATGACATTTATCATGCACTACTGTCACTACAGCGTATCCTGTTAAAAAGACTTTCTGGTCCTTTTATGCCTCTAACGTATTCTCATGACTCAAGGCCGGCACACTGAGAATTAGAGGAAGTGATTCTAAGGGCCACACCACGGCCCATCAGTTTAGCTCAAACAATATTAAAGACACATTTCTCCCAATGCTGTGTGAGTAAAATGGAAATGCGTTTTCCCTGGCGATAGGGCCCAGCTCTTTCTCACCTGGGGTCGTGGCGCTTTGCCCCTTTTGGCCGTGCTATTGACCACACACCTGTGCATTATGGGTAGATGCAGGAGGTGGCCAATACCACCCAAAAAAAGTGAAACAAAGTTGATTCTTCGTTGATGATAAAAAAAATAAAAATTAAAAAATTGAAGGAATGTTAGAGTACCCCTCACTTCAAAATAACATGCTGCAGAATTATTTTTCAACTCCAGAAGGAAGTTAATCTATTTTAAGAAGTATAACATTATTAAGGAAAGCCCCCAGCACACCTTCCACATAAACTTTTAACAACCTACCCCCCCCCCCCACATCCCCACCCCCGACAGCATGTTTAACTGCTGGCTATCACGGATTTTCCATGTTTCGTCGATGAGCTCCTACCCACAGGGACAGCGATGCGAGGATAAATACCTCTGACTTCCTGCGCCCTACCTCCGGCCGTGCTGTGCCACGGTAATCTAATGGACGTCCGAAGAGGAGCATTTCTCTGCCCGTCTAAATAGCTCAGATCTTCCAATTTGGTTGAGCTGGTCGCTGTAACATGAAGCGGAAGTTTAGTCTCTTCAAAGTTGAGTTTCATATCATATCTAAACTACTGGAATTATAAATCACTAAACAATTCCACTCAGGCGTTCAACAATATTTACTTCAAGGTGATTTTGATTTTGTCTACCCAACTCAATTTATCTTTCTAGTGATGCTACCAAAAAATGTTAAAAACAAAACAAAACAAACAAACAAACAAGTGCTCCTCATTCTTTAATGAAAGTTATGTTGATACAGTTGCTAAAATCTCCGTGATTCCTGGAAAGTGATGAATTTCACCATAAATGTTTATGAAGACATCTGACAATCAAGTGTCACTCCGCAAAATCCCAGTCCTACTGCAAACACACAGCGCGGCCCAGAGAAGCCTGATGCTGCTAGAATTCCAACCGCGTTAACCAAGCAGACTGCCCATACACTTCCACAGTGTTCACAACCCGAAAGTCAGCTCCTGGCAGTAAAAGTAGCCTTTCACTGGAAATAAACATAATCCTAAACTTCAAAAGTGTGCATATTCCTGGAAATAAACATATTCCTAAATTTCAAAAGTGTGCATATATTATTTATACACACACCAATATATACGTATATCTATAGATTACATTATATAATACTAGAGGCACGGTGCTTGGATTTGTGCACTGGCACGGGGTCCCTTGGCCTGGCCTGCAGGGATCAGTGGACCTCTGCACCACCACAGCCTGGTCTTACTGCCAGCTTGTTGGGCTGCAGCCCACTGTCCATCTCGATCCCATACAGCTCAACATCGTGCCTGAGTGGCAGGTGGCCGGGGAGGGAGCCCAGGCCCAGGCTGGGCACCATGCAGCGCCTGCTCCTCCCCGCCCACTGCACCTGCTGCCACTCAGGCATGCAGGGGGAGTGTCTGCAGGAGAGACTTGCACAGCTGCAGCTGTGCTCCCTTTGTGGGAGCACACTGACCACCAGGGGCAGCTCCCGCATTGAGTGTTTGCCCCCTGGGGGTCAATGTGCATCATAATGATGGGCCGGCCTTCCTGTTGCTTAGGCTTTCATATATATAGATAGACTACTTATGTGTGTACTTTTTTAAATTCTAAAGAGAACTAATCACATTTCCCTCTGTAAGATTCGCAGCACATAGGTACCTTTAAAATGGATTTAGGGTGTAATCCAGTTGGATTATAAAAACAATTAATGCAAATAATTCTACTAATCCTCAGCAAATCGTAGAAGCAAATATACAGTGTTTTCTTTCTTAAAAAAAAAAATCTCCTCTGAATTGCATATCTAGGTCACAATAAGGAAATCTAAATGAAATTAACCTAATTTGGTTTGTGGAATGAGTGGCCCCATACAAAGCCCTGCTGCTCTTAGACATAGGATGATCATCCAGGACAACAGGACACAGATGTCATCTGAGGGCTGACGAGGAGGGAGAGGGAGTTCCATTCCAAGGGCTAAGGCTCCTAAGGACTGGGGAAGCCCTCAGCGGGACCAAGCTTCAAGGGACAGAAGTCAAGTAGGGCCGCCCTATGCTATACCCTCTGGCTCTAACACCCCCGGCACCCCCTGCCTGGCGTGGGCCCTTCCAATTTCCCCTTCTGAGGCCTAAGTCCTCTCCTTCCTCAGTGTCAGCCCCACCCTCTCCTTCAGTCAACCACCACCCGGCCGGCTCCATGGCTGGGCTCTGTGACAGTGTGCCTGCTCCCCTTCTCAGTCCATGGAGACACGCCTGACACTGACTTCACAAGAGCAGACACTTTGCTTCTACACCGTCTCAGTGCCTAAATCTCCGTGATTTTAGTAACTGATGTGAATGTGCTCCGAGATTTTAGCAACATCCTTCCTGTTACAGAGAGTCCGCTACCTCCCCATCAGAACCTCCAAATGGACCTAGGTTACGGGAATCCAATGGCAGCTTCTAGTTTCTTGGCCAGGCGGTGGGGGGCCACCAGGATACACCCGTCACCCTGGCTTCCTATGATGATCCAGCGTGGAACATTAACTGCAGGCTCCTGCCTGGGACCTGGGCCTCGGCAAATGGCGTTCTCCTCAACATGTCTTACCTCGAGGACCCCCACGTGTCCCAGGCTGTGGCTGAAGGGACAGCGGGCAGTGTAGCCCGTGAGCCAGGTCACCAATGGGAACAGCCATGAATGCCAGACCTGCTGCCGCAGCTCTGGTGAGCACAGAGATACTGGGAGCCTCGCCAGGGCCTCGCTTCCCTTCTTCCTGACCCCTTAGCCCATGACATTCAGCTCGGCTGGCGTGGCTCAGTGGTTGAACATCAACCTATGAACCAGGAGGTCACAGCTCGATTCCCCTTCAGGGCACATGCCTCGCTTGTGGGCTCAATCCCTACTGGGTGGCATGCAGGAGGCAGCAGATCAATGATTATCATCACTGATGTTTCCATCTCTCTCTCTCCCTCTCCTTTCCTCTCTGAAATCAATTAAAAAAATATATATTATATATATATATATATATATATATATATATATATACAATATATATAATATATATATAATATATATCACACAAGACATTCGGTTTATAGCTCTGTGACAACCGAGAGGATTAAGAATATGAGACTGTAGCTGAGACTGGTTTGGCTCAGTGGATAGAGCATCTGTCTGGGGACTGAAGGGTCCCAGGTTCAATTCCGGTCGGGGGCATGTACCTTGGTTGTGGGCACATCCCAGTGGGGGGTGTGCGGGAAGCGGCTGATCGATGATTCTCTCCCATCGATGTTTCTAACTCTCTCTCCCTCTCCCTTCCTCTCTGTAAAAAATCAATTAAGGAAAAAAAAAAAAAAGAAAGAATATGAGGCTGTAAAGGATTATAAAAGAAGCCCTTGTTTGACCCCCAGGCAGGAGATGAAATTTCAAATGTGTTTTCAGATTTCCAGTCGCCGCACTTTCAGCTCCAAAGTACACAACAGTTGGCCCCTGTAACTCCAAGCGCTGTCAGCCTCTACTCAAACACCAGAAAGTTGCATGGAAATGGGCCACCCCTCAGCAGGGCTGCAAGCCACCAGCTGCTGGCTGCCTCCACTTTCTTAGGTGTCGTCAACGGCACAGAGAGAGGGGAGGGTGGAGGCAGGGAAGCCTGGGCCTCCCGGCAGATCCTACTCTGCCTTCTCACTCTGCGTGCCTCCCGTAGATTCCCGCATTACCAGGACAGGATGCAGACTCATTTCCTGGTACTTAACACTACATGCTTTCAAAATCCTAAACACTGTTCAGGGCTGAGAACAATCCGAGGCAAAGCGGTAACTTCATGCTGCAGTAAACCTACTGCTAATATCTCTACAATTAAACTAATTACACGCTTCCCGCACACACACCGCGCCCAGCACCTGGGTGAGGAGTACACTGGCACAGACTGCAGGAAAGAGGTTTTACTGGGCGGGGTGGAGAGAGGGGAGGTGGGTGGAGTGGGAGGAGGAGCAGAGGAAAACTCATCCACGCTGAGCAAAGAGAAGCATCTGTTGAAACATCATGGACTAACCTATCAAAGGTAAAGGCCATTAAGTCCAGGCCATTATCAGTTCGAGTTTTAAGAAAATTGGCTGGTAATGATGTTTGTTGGTTTCCTCGAAAACTAAACAGTGTTCCTTGATCCACCTAGGAAATATTTCCAAAGGGGGATAAGCCAAAGCCAGTTTGGCTCAGTGATAGAGCGTTGGTCTGCAAATTTAAGGGTCCCAGGTTCGATTCCAGTCAAGGGCATGTACCTTGGTTGCGGGCACATCCCCAGTAGGGGATGTACAGGAGGCAGCTGGTCGATGTTTCTCTCTCTTCGATGTTTCTAACTCTGTCCCTCTTCCTTCCTCTCTGTAAAAAAAATCAATAAAATATATTTGAAAAAAGGGGGGGGGGAGGAATAAGAAAAGTAGTAAAAAACAGTAGCCCCTAATTACCCAAATTCTAAATGATCTAAGAAATACCTTAAAGGTTCTCATTCCGTGTTTTAAGGTGTCTGTTCCCTTACTCCTTTACTAAATGTAGGGTGTACATTTGATGTGATATACAGTAAGAACCTGACTGCAGGACTGCAAACCAATTCCATGCCAACAAATCATTTACAAAGACAATCTCTGTGTAGTGAGACAACCTCCAAACCTAGCCAACTTGTTTTTATAACCCTTGACATAAAAATGTTACTGTGCTAGATGGGTAACGGTGAGCAGACCACCACAGTGCTTTGCAACAGGCCCGGCGACAAGAAGAGCTGGCAATCTGGGGCATCTGTTTCCATACCCAAGACCCCTGGGGGGGGGGGGGGGACTCAGGGACCAGGTGCCTTGAGGTCAGCAGACCCCTTCCTCCACCCGCCGGTCCTTACTCTGCATACATCACATTCAATCACTGGATGTTTCCTAGCAAATGGAATTTATGTTTATATGGGTCTTACATGCAGATACTTCAAGACTGCAGCATAGGGTCCCTCATGTATTACTGTCACCCTTCAAACACTGAGTGTTGCCTACTCCCTGTTGTAGCAGCTTGTCTTCTAATCAGTAGACAAACAGTGCTGCGGGTAGTACAGACGACCTGAATCTTCTGCCCTTTTCAATAATACCTGAGAGATCCTGCCATTCCCTCCTCACTGAGGCTCAGCGTTAGGGATAGGAGGGTGGGCAATGGAAAATCTACCAGGTGCCCAGCTTGTCAACACTTACTATGCTGGAAGGCACTTGCCTATTTCCTTTAAAAAACATGCTTTCAGTTTTAAAAATATACAATGCAGACCAAACAAGCAAACCCATTAGGCCAGGCAGTCACTGCTCAAACCCAGAGTGCAAAACCCTCCCAGTTCCACAGGAGGTCTTGCTCAAGTGCATACGTCCAGGCTAATGAATGAACAGAGCAGCAACCAGACAGCCCTGCTCCGTAATCACTGCCGACGCCTGGAAAAGCTCAGCTCACACCCACTGTCACTTCACAGGGCGGGAGCGCCCGTAAAAGAACATCAAGCAGGCACATCACCCCAAACGAGGGGTGGGGGCCTTTTAACACCGTCGACTTAATTTATTAATGTTTCCCTTTATTTTAAAATAGCTCCATGAAACTGAATACAAGTTTGCTATGTTGTCGAAGTCAATAAAACCATCAAGTTCTGGAATAACACAAATGAAGCATTTACTGAAACTAGGCAAATCGGTCTAAAATGCCGGGGGGACAACATATTACACCGCAGGTAGCAGGATAGCGGTGGGAGGGAGGACAGGAAAGCCTTTGGAAGAACCATCACTCAAATATGCATAAACCCTCCGGTACCGCGCTCTGGCAGACACGCCAAGCCTCCCTCCTGGAATAAGGCCACTTTGTGTCCTTTGAAAGCGAATTAGAGTTGAGTCTCAGAACTTTTCCATTAGGGCAATTTATTTATCAAGCTGTTTCAAAGTTTCGTTGTTAAAAAAAAACAAAAAACCATCACACACACAACAAAGCACCCAACAACAACCAGAGTGACCTGCCACATCCTGAAGGAGCAGTAAAAATCACAGGAAAAGCCTTTGATGTAGGAAGGGAGGACCTGGGTGCACACATCAGCCGAGGAGAAGTTTTAAGCATTGTGTCGGCAACAAAGAACGACTGAAACAAGTTCCTCTTCTGAGTTCAACCCAAGGGCACCGTGTTTAGAAACTCAGGACATGAAAGCAGGCATGTCAGCTCAGACGCAGATTTCCTCTCCCACCCCAACCCTTCTCTCCTCGCTTGCAACCACCCACTGGCCAGGCCTGCAGCAAGTCACCACTCGTGTAGGCCTTCTGAGCTCCGGCTGCCCCAGGGTGCCTGCTTCCATTTCCTCCACCGAGAGCCCTCACTTCCGCTGCTCACGGTGTAAGCTGTGAGATCCCTTACAGCAGAATTACACAGCAGCTGCCCCCCCACCTGTATGATGGACCTCAGTGGTAGAGGCTAACTTCGAAAGTTGGATTAGAAATGCTTTGCGCTGATGTTCACAAACTCACCCTGAAGTCTGATTCTTGTTTACCAGGATGTAATACAAAGCCGTGAATTTACTCAGGCTTCAAATAACAAAAACAAGGACAGAATTTTTGGTACTGTGTGGCTCTTTGAAGAGAGTCTAAATATAGAGTGTGCCCCCCAAAAATGCACACACCTTGAATAATTATAAAGGCAGCGCTTATTAAAAACACAACTCCTTTTCAAAACTGAACTATCAGCTGTTAAAGTGGGTATACTTTTTGGGGGGGACTTCCAGAGCCGTAGGACCCCTTAAAGCCCATCCAGTGGAGCCTGACCATGTTTCTGCCAGGGTAAACTGGAGGGCTAGGAAAGGTTAGGCGCCTGACCCCGGATCACAAAGCTGGCTGGTGTCCGGATTGGATTCCCAAGGGAAGAGAGCGACCTCGGACACCTCAGGCCCAGCCAGATAACCCTCCTGAGGAGAAGCGTGGCCTTACCTGCAACTGAGTTGGGCCGTGGCATTATTAGCGAGCTGGAGCTCTGGGAGTAAGGGACTGGACCATCTCCTCCGGGGGCTTCAGCTGGGGGCAGCACGCTCTCTGCTGACCCAGCCGGCTCCTCTTCCGCCACTGGGGAACAATTATCTGCCCTCCGATCATGGAGCACTCCCTTCTGCACCCCTAACCTTAGGCTTCCGTCCTTATTCCATTCCAAACTGGAGCCACTCCGGTCATCATTTTCGGATGAACTTGTAATCGTGGCTGAAATGAGAGACCAAAAGACTTTGAAGGCTGCCAGGCATCACTGGGGCTGCTGAGAATTCACACACACACACACACACACACACACACACACACAGCCCTCCCCACCACCAAGGGAACGTTTTCCGGTCCACACAGATTTTTATCAAAGTCTGCTTCATACAATGTATTTTGGTAAATTTAGAAGAATGTTGCTTAATAAGGGATATAAACTGCTAAATTATTCTACACGGGAGGAAAAGGAACGCTGATAAGAAAATAAAAAAGCTGTCTAAACATATCTGGAGTTAATGGTATATCTGTGTAATTTGGAGATGCTGTTGCCTCTCTCTCTTTTTTTTTGTTTAACATCGATGAATTGCTCACAAAAGAACTTGTATCTTATTACATTTCTTTGACTATTTAAATAATTTTTCCAAATTAACATCTGGTAGGGGGGTTGGGGGGAGAGGGTAGACAGGCAGCACCATGGTTCATGGAGAAAAGATGCAGGAGAAAAATCTATAAAGACAAAAATGCAGTGACAGAGTCAAGCAGAGAAGTTGGCCGTTAGCATTAAGTTTTGTAACATCTGTTCAGGACCAGCCAGAGAGGCTGACTGGACTTTATTCCTTGGGTGGCGTAGTCTGGAAAGCTGCTAGGTAAACAACGCAAGAAAAACACTCGTGTGGGAAAGATCATATGATTGCAGAATTAAAATTTAACCTCTAAGGAAGAAAATGGGCACAATGAATGTCTAGGCAGAAGAGGAGGAAAAGGATGAAGAAATACAGCCAATATAGGGCAGGGCAAAAGTAGGCTTACAATTATGAGCATGTGAAACAGTTTATTCTTGTATTTTTTACTAAACATTGTGTTCTTTTCCATACAAACAACTGTAAACCTACTTTTGCCCCACCTGTATGCACCCTCTGTCGCTTCTATCAATAGCCACTTCCAATTTCAAGGCCCTGAGCCATAGGTGATGTTCACCAAGGACGCTATGTCCTTGAGAATAAGGGCCATGTCTCTGACCCCTCTGTGTCCCCGTCTGGACCCACTTCAGTGGGAGTGCGTGGGGCCAGAGTGCATTCAGAACCCAGCGCCTGGTGTACACTGTCTCCTCCACATACCAGGAAGACACACTCTTAATCAGCAAGCCGGACATTAGCTCCATGGAGCCTGCTGTCTGGGGTCAAAGGTCCGAAGGGGTTTTGCTTATTTTTACAATGCTCCGTAAGGCTAAGGAGACAAAACAACTTCCTCGCTGTGACTGCAGGGCATTCTGCCCCAATCCTAAAACCATCTTCTTGCTCCCGCTGTTCCAGTCAGGACTTGCCATTCCCATCTTGTCTTTCTATTTAAAAATCCCTTCTGCACGCCGAAGCCTCTCTGTCAACAAGTACCTACCACCGGGATCTCTTTTTCTGAACAGCACCACACCTGGCACGTTCTACGTGCTCAATCAAGGTTTGCCGATTCAATGGGTGAGCAAATGAACACACTTCCCTTTCCAGCTGTGGTCAGAGACACTGCCTGTCACCTCACCGCTATTGGTTCGGGATTGTTGGTATTCTGTCTCCAACTAAAGTGTGAATTTTCTTGTGAAGGACCCGGCATACCTTTTGGATGTCTGCCGTGATTCCCAGTATTTCCAAGTATTAATACTCATCTCCCATCTGTTTGGAATCCATCACAGCCTTCATTGTATGATCCATTAAAAAAAAAAAAGCTCCCCTCCCCTCCCCCTGTTCATAGGAGCGTCAGGATAGCAAGTACAACTTTCTACCCTAAAAAAGGCTGCTGCCGGTGGTAAAAGCAGCAATCAGCATTTGCTGAAGGGTACTGTATGTCATGGGCTCTGCTAAGCGCTTCACAGGAACACACTAATTTATTAATGGGATGATTGCCCGCTACTCATGGTAATTAATTACTCATTGCAACCCTGTTAGTCCGTTGTGCATGTGTTAAAAACCTTCATTTATAATGCCAGTATTTAGGGCTCAGATGCCTTTCCCACAGATATGCTATAACTAATTAGGTCTCCAGGCAGTGCCAATATCCAAGTTACAGGCTGGGGTAGGGGTGACTTATTCGGTTTTGGAGCTGTCTGTTCAATTCTGGAGTACATATCCTTAAGGTGAAAACTAACGTCAATGTGATGTGTCCCCCTTAAGTATCATGCACTTCAGAATCAAAGCCCCAAGGACCTGAGTCCTCACCCAGACCTCGAACTGTGGGAACACAGACAAGGGACTTCCCTGCTTCCTGTGGCAAGTGACAGCCCAGAAGCAGGGCCGGCCTGGCAGGGCTCCCGGGCTGAAGGAACAGGCTGAAGGCCCAGTTCTCACCAGACAGCCACAGCGCCCAGGCCCTGATGCTTGGCAATGCCGGGGGCCCTGGCGGCAAGCAGGAGAGTGGGTGGGGAGGAAGGCCCAGCTGCAGAAACAGTGACTGAGAGGAGAAGGCACAGACAGGGGCGCCGCTTCAAAAGCACGATATTACAAGCTACGATATGTTTGTGAGCAGGAGACTCTCCACTGTCCTCATGAAGTTCACCATTGCTACATCATCAATGTTAAGGACATGAATCCCCATTCGTCAGCAATAATTAATTGTCATTAATGAGCAATAGTCTCATTAGTACCTAAGTGTATTTCTGTGAAGCACTTAGCATTCCGACATCCACACTCCCCGGGGCCCTGAAGCCAGAAGCTCTGAGGCCACGGCCCTCCAACAAAGATACTCCCCTAACACTGCCCGACTGCCCCACTTCGCAAGAATCCTCCTCCCCAGGATCCAAGACAGGCTCCACCCACATGGCTCGAAGCCCAGGCAGTGTCCTTGCATCACGGCGCAGGCACCATCAGGTCCTACAGCAGATCCAGCGGGGCAGATCCAGGCCCACCTCTCCGGCTTCCCTGTGTCCCTCAGGAGCACACCAGGAGGACAGCCCTCCAGTCTCCAGCAAAGGAAAGCTGGTTCTGACACAGATGACAGGCTGCGCAAAATTCCCGCTACCAAAATCCAAACTCCCACTTAAATTAACCCAGTTGCCTTCAAGTTCTCACACACATACACACCATTTTAACTATGACTTTATTTTAAAAAGCTCTAAAAAGTGCCATTTGACATTTTTTTGGAGACTGGATCATCTTTAAATTTCCCTAACAACTCAAAAATTTTAACATCTTATTCCTTCAGCCAGCCAGTATAGACACCAGCTTTTGCCAATTAAGACTTGGTATGAAGAGATCAACCAAAGAACTTACATGCATATGCAGGGTGTCCCAAAAACATGTGTACACACTAATAACTGATAGCTCAATTGATGCTTCTTTTCAGACAGACTAAGCTTTGAACAAAGGAAATTCTTCCTAAAATGCTATTGGACATTTGAAAACACAGTTGAAATACAAACACTGCCTTTACAATTATTCAAAGTGTGTACACGTTTTGGGGCACACAGGACATCTCCCAAAATGTAAACACACTTTGACAGCTAATAATTCATTTAATGTTCACTCCTTTTCAGGTTTAACTGATTTGAAATAAGGGGTGAAGTTAGACTAAGCTTTGGACACAGAAAATTTATCCACTAGAATTTCTTATGGGGATACATAAAAGATAAAGTTTATGGTATAAAATCGGATTGACGAATTGAGAGAGCACAATACGGAATGAAATGGTTCTTGATGTGCGTGATTCCACTGCTTTGTGTTATCAGCAGTGCCTGGACCAGAACAGTCATCAGTTTGAAAGCAGGCCATTGACAGAACAAATTATTCATTTATGTAAATTTTTTTAAATTTAGAAAATGAATTACATGTTAATAAACACTGACTGTATAATCATTCAAAGTGGGCCTACGTTTTTGGGGGACACCAAGTTGCCCATGGACACACACAATGTGTGGTAGGGGCCTAGGGTGGGGCAGGGGCAGGGTGGAGGGGGTAAAAGTGGGGGAAATGAGGACATCTGTAATCCTCTCAACAATAAAAGACTTGCTATTATCACTCACACTGGGTCTCAAACACACTTCCAACAGGCAAGATTCTGTAAATGAGTGACTTATCAGGCCTCGTGTTAGCAAGCTGTGAGGTTACATGGTATTCCCAATGTAGCATTAACTTAGGTTGGGTACTGCTCACTGATTTACTACATGTGTTACTTCTGACTCTCTGTAGTTTGAAAATTATTTTTAGCCACAAACAATATCTTCCTCTGTAGTAACAGCACATTTAACTAGACCTACTATACTAGTGCACGGGGTTATACTATGTAAAAAAAAAAAAGTTCAAAATATATTAGGACATACACATGACCACAACCTTGAAAAGAGGTGGAGGGGCTGAGAACCATCAACCCCACCCTTACAGATACTTTCCTGGGAGAAAACGACCACACACACACACACACAGTAAATGGTATGTCTGATACCAGTTCTTTGACTGCACACTCCTTTCCCCAAGCACAGTGCTCACCATGTACAAGTTGCTCTGAACTATCCGTGGCTAAGGAATATTTTGCCTTGTTCAAAACAGTAGCCCCGGGGCAGGGCGCTTTGGGCAGGGGCCAGTCATGGGCTCACAGCAGCCAGGAGGGAGCCACCGGGGGGGAGGCAGAGGAAGCACAGAGGGAGATCCACTCAGTCATCAAAGGTTATGGTATATAAGCTTCCACTATGAAGCTATATGCCTTCTCCTTCCCATCTTCCTTCGCCCCCTCTTTGCTTTTTGAAGGTCCTTTCTATGTTGAGTGGACACTTAAAATAGAACCAGGGAAAATAATCAGTTTCAGTCCAGGGCCCAACATGTACTTCGATGAGATATAAATCAGGTTATAGGTTCAAAAGGACATCGAGAAGAAAATTAAACTGACTTCACCATTAGCCCACACCTGTTCAGGAACTAAGGTTCACTGCTATCAAATATGACACATAAGTAGAGCTGAATTCCTTCTGAGTTGCAGAAAAGACAAGAGGTTAAAAAAAAAAAATGCAAGGGGCTTGGGTTCAATCC